CCGCAGAAATTGTGAGCAACTGCAAAACGCCTTTAAATACACTGCCTTCGTCAATAAGTTGGTACTACTGTTCTTCAGCTCTGTTTTTCATTATAATTATCAAGATTTCAAAAACATTTCTTAAAGATAGCATCACCAATGACAACAACAAAATTATCATTTAATAATTCTAAATGTGAAGAAAAAAACATAAAAAATAGTCGAGGTAAAATGATTGGAAAAACACTTAAATTTCCAAGTATTTCGTTCAGAGGTCCACCGCCAAACAATATAACACACCGCCAAACAATATAAACAATAAGCACATTCGTTGTCCCAGTCAACTTTATTATAACATTGATGTATCTGTACAAAATACACAGAAACACGGGCTCATCTCTTATATACACTCACATATCCACACACACATATATACGTAGATTTTATCTGATCTGGTTTGCCCAACAAACTTTTCGGTACGCGTTTCTAGCCGCATTTGTTTCCCGCAGATTTTCTTGTCCATCTAGTATGTGTGTGCGTGTGAATAAATGGTGCCTCCACTACTGTTGGCCCCAACTATTTGGTCCCTACAATAGATCCTTACATAATGCACGTGTTAAAATACCCCAATTGGCGTAGTGCCAATCTCAACCGTGACCCTTTAGCGTGCTTTTCAGGTGCATTTTTGACAACGTAGTACACAGTACAAAAATAGAATTATTTTAACCGCCTACTAGGCGGACATTTTTCTATTATTGTCCTATGCATTTCAATTCCATAATGAGCCGAACGATTCGCTACAGCGAATAACACATATCTTGGCAAATAATCAAAATTTAATAATTATCATATCTTATGCGTCATTTTTTTGCATCCCGAGCAAAATGAATTCGCGTCCGTTGTCCGGCAGCAGTCTATACGGCAACCTGGAAAAGTTTATCCACCGTTGTACCACATTAAATGCTATCTTTACTTCCCACTTAGCGACATTGAGTTTCAGTTTTTTTTTCTGATTGCAGTATCTTCTGGACTTCGAGGAATGACAGAAGGATGACTCAATATCGTTCTCGCAGTTCTGTTACGATTGCTGAATCGTTGTAAGGGAATGGAAATAAGCAAAAAAAAAAAAACCTTGATACAGTTACAAAGTAGACAACTAATCTATAGATTGATGTACAACTGGTTCGTATGAATTTCCTTCCTTCCTTTCTCTCTCATCCATTTCACAGTTCGCCCGATAAAATTAATTTTCTAGAGCTAATTCAGAAACTTCGCTCTTTTTCGTTGCCCTCATATGGATA